TTTGAAAGCTAGTGGGAGACATGTGGCCGCCGTTTTGAACTCTTTTTTTTTGGATTTGTTAGAGGCTTCGACTTCATGTATATACAGTAATTTATACTGTGTTGCATTTGTTGCCAAAAAACACTTGTGACACTCATGGTGTGTTCCTATTATCCATGGAATTCTGACCAGCCAGCTTGACCTAAAACAACAACAACAACAACAACAACAACAACAACAACAACAACAACCACCAAAACGTGCGATAACTATATAATTTAGTTGAGAGCGGTCATGAATTTCACGACTTTTGCTAAAACCTGCAAAAAGCGATAGGCTCCCCTCAAAAGCAATAACCACATCCCCGCGGTTTTTGTATGCCCATCTATCTATGGGGACATTATGGCTGAATGATGTCCTCTATTGACAGTAATGGCAGATGCTCATATAATAGAAGAAACCTGTTTTTGCGAACTTGTCATGGTTTTTCACCTGAAATCGTATTCGGCAGTTGGGCGATGTGGAAGGCAGCAGCTCTTCCCGAACGGTCAGCCGAGCTCTGAGGTGGAAGACCACGAGGATGCGCTCCCGACCTTTTGCTTCGAAACCACCTCGACCGAACGGTTCCAGAACCTCGCCCACCTCATGCGTGACACAGCACCCTGGCGGCCAGCCTGGCGGCGGTTGGCGTTCTTTCGGCGCATCATGAGTGGCACAAGACGGGGAAGGCTTCAGAGTTTGACGGCAACATGGTTTCAGCGTAGAAAATGCACAATCCCCAAGACTTGGTTGTCCTATGGACCCACATCCAAACGATCCAAAGGACATTTTGGGGTGCCAGTGCCATCTACTCTGAAACCCCTTGTACGTGTTTGAGATTGTTTGAGTCTTTGCAGTGAGAACCGTGTGAGGTTCATGGTTGGTGCTCTAGGCCCACCCCAAGCCGCCGAGGCGCATGTGGTGGATCAGGTCTCAGCTGTGAAGAGCCTCGGCCCCCAAACCACATCGACGTCGGATCGGCGGTTCCATCGGTCTCGGCGGAGGTCGTGGCGAGCGTTTTTGGTTTGCACAGCTTGACATATTGGTACCAAGAACATGCATTTGCAATGATATGATATGGCCATGTGGCATGCTTATCTCATAGAACATAAATACGTGCTCAATGCATCTCAAAGGTAAACATCTTGACATCTTGATGCACGAATTTCAATGTCATTATCATAACAAATCCTTCGAAGGTCAGTCCCCGATGCAGGTCAGTCAGACCAAGGGCCAAGTACCATGCGAGGAGCCCGCGATCCAATCACACGGTCCGGTTGGGGCAGGAACTGGTGGAAGGTGGCAGGAACTACTGGCCAACCTTGTTTCAGACATCCACCTTGTAGGAACCTGGAACTGGTGGCAGGAACTGGTCAAACTTAAGGTGGAAGGTTAGACATAGTTCGACCTTGGCGTTTCCAAATGTTTGATCTCCCCAACGTTTCAAGTCAATTGTTCCAAACAAAAACTTCACCATAGGCGCTACCCACTGAGCGTCTACCTGAAAGCCGGTGAACGTCAGGGGAGCGTAGGTTGACAGTTTAACCGGCAGTCTGTTGCTTTTTAGTCTCGTTTTCCATGGCAAGTGATTAGTGATAGTGCATAAAAGGACATGTTTTGACTGAGTCTTGACTTTGAATGGAAGAGGTTTCCGCGATGGACCTTGTTTGGTGATGCGTACCGCATAACTCCAGGCCTTATCTTCAGGTGGGTCAGACAAGACTAGGGGCTACTTCTACAGCAGCAAGTTGCCCCAAAATCAAAAGTGGAAATGAAAGCAATTTGGTCACAGAAGAGCGCGAAGGAAATGAAAGCTTGACTCAGGCTCTGCAAGACCTTGGGGGGCTCCCTTGCCACGGCTGATTCACTACCCCTCGACAGCCGAGACGGTGAATGCCGCCTATGCCCTAGCTCGGCCAGGGGAGGACGGCCGAAACTGAAAAAAAAACACGTCTATGAGAGAACCATATAAAAACCTTCACGATCAGTCCCAAAGCTTCACTGGAAGAACGTGGTACAAGTCGTGGGATGGGCATGGATGGCTGTTGAACCTCTCTTGGAATGTGATTCGCCTGCAGGAGTTCTGTGACCCCACACAGACCTTGGTCTTGTGCGAGCGAGAGTGGGGGGGCGAAAGAGATCCGGAAGCTGAATGCCGGGTTCAAGGCAAAGAGGGAGACGTAATTAGGGAAAAGAACCACATATATCAAAACATAAGAACTATAGACAAATATAGATTATAAACATAAATGTGATATTATTATGATTTATATATTTTATATGTCATGCAACGATGCGTGGAGCTGGAGACATAGATCGGATCACCTCGGGAACACGCGCAACCGCAAGCGCAGACAATGCAGACCCTTAGCTAGTAGCTTCTTAAGATTTGCTAGTAGTAATGGCCTCCACCCTAGTAGCGATGGCCTCCAACCTAATAGCTTCCTGCTACTTGTACCGAAGGAGCCAAACACCGTGGTTTGCACGAACCAAACGCATTGCACTGCAAAGCGTAAGGCGGGTAAGGTAGTCGGCGGCATCCTTACATCGTCAAAATCATTGCACACTTCGTCAGGCGTGCCACTTCGCATTGGGGCGGACAAGCACTAGAAATTCAAGCAACACTTGAGCCCTCTTGAGGATGGCCAAACAATCACTGCAAACATCCGCAAACCCTGATGTCATATGTCACTGATGCGCTCTCCGCGTCCGCTCTCCGCATCAGCAAGTAGCCGTCTCCAGTTTCATGCAGCCTTGGAGTTTGGAGTATGCCTTCCAGCTCGAGGTCAGTCTCAGCAGAGTCCGCAAGCTTCATGGCATATTACATACTGGCTCACCTTGAATGAACTTGCACACGGACGTTGTTGGTTCAAATGAGCCCCCTGTTGAATCTGGAAAAGATCTCAGGTGTATGACGTTGTCGGAAGTGTCGGGCAGCACCGTACACAAGGGCACCGTCACAAAAAGGGATGGTCAACCCCCAGGTCCGGCGGTCCTTGCTGCCACATGTAGTGACAACCCTGAAAGCAACTCCTTGGTGAAGACCCGTCCGAAGTACCAGCAGGTGGCAGGTGGGTGCATTTGTCATGGAGTTCCCCAGGAAGGTCCAGGTCCTGCTTCAAACAGATCAAATTCTGTGCGGTCGACCATTGCCATGTCTTGAAGGACAAGAAGACTTGTGCATACAACCCGGCCAAGCACTTCAAGGGCTTCAACTTGTTTGCTGCAGAGCAGGTGGTTAGTTGCTTTCACAACTAATTACGCACGCTTCTTGAATGAATGTCGCACCCTTTGCCATGCCTTCCAGGCCCTTTGCTTCGTCAAGCGGCGCAACCTCGCCATGAATCAGGGAAAAAACAAATGAATATATACCTAAAAAGTAATTACAAGGTTCCGTCCAAGAAGGCATGGAAGAGTGAAAGCAGCTGTGGCAACAACACCATCAAGAAGATGAAGCTGATGAGTAAGTCCTCCGAAACATCGTGAACTCTAGATGCCTTTTGTGCCGCTATGAGCTCAAGCAATGCTTTGCCCCTGCTCGAGCCTAGGATGCCTAGCATGCCAACTTCCAAACTACAGACAACCAAGGAAACTCCTAAACAAAGAAAAGAGAAGGAATTCCAGGAACATCTCAACTCTTTACACTATGGAATGCAGAACTCAGCAAAAACAAAGCCTAAACTTTGACACCCCTACTCCCCACCACTACCGGCTCTCTACATATAGAATTGGCTAACGCATACTGCTGCTGACCCGACGATGGCGATGGCTTGTCCAAAGCAATCTACAATGACACCGTAGACAGCTAGAAACAAATATGGTCCATCCAAAATAGTCTTCAGGAAATATGTTCACTGGCCTTAGATTCAAGCATCCCACATAGCATGCCAGACGGCAGTTTTGAAAACCACTGAAAGAATCTGAAAGAGATATGTATGGGACACACGCAATGCGCCCAACAGTCACCAAAACATATGCCAGACAGCAGTTTCGAAACCCATCGCCACGGCCTCAATCCATGTTACTATTTGTATTCTGCATGTTCAGGGGGCCACAAGCGGCCACCAGACGGCAGTTTCGGAACCTGCTGAAAGAAGTACCTATGGAGCACGCTTTGTTTCCCACCACGCAAGCCAGGCCAAGGAAGCAACTTTCCGCATGCCAGGCACCGCCCCTTCGCGTGGACAATGCAATTTATATATATATATACATGTTGGGGGAGTCTCATTACTTACCTGCAACAGTCGGTAAACAATTATCATCACAATTTTTAGAGAAAGGCCACTGACCATCATCATCCACTGTTACAGAGAATGGGATAAGGACTGTTGGTGCCACCGCCCACTTCTGCCCAGCCGCGTCTGGCTGCGAGGTCCTCTCCGCGGCGGAGATCATCGACGACCTGCTGCGGGAGGTCCGGCAATGGGCGCGCCATGGCTTCACAGGACCGGAGATTCAGGCCGAACTGGACCGGCGAGACCTGCAGACGCTGAAGGTCGTGAGGAGCGCCATGCATGCAGCGTGCAGTGCGGAACAAAAAGGAGAGAGCGAGGTTTCTGGGGCTATGGGGCTCAAGGGGCTTGGTGAGATCAGAGATACTATCAGGCTTTGGGTTGACGTGTGATGATGCATTGCTTCAATGATTGGGGCATGAAACATGCACTGCTTTCGGAGTCCGGTTTGGAATTGCAAGCGTACCTTTGGTTGGTGGTGAGTGGACCTTTTGGTGTTTTACTTCCACATGTCCATCTTGGGTTTCCCCAAGTATAGCTTCAATAGCTGTTCAACAACATAGTAACTATAGCGTATCCATTGATGACGCAAAATCCAAACTTGGTTCATCTTGGTTCCCACCATGACCCAGCAGAAAAGTGTACATTCCGCCTCAGAAAAGGGCGATTCTGGCTGGTGATGCCAGTGATGCTGCTGTCCATGAAATTTCGAAAACCCACGGCCCACATGTGAATCCCACGCCCGGTGAGGCGCATCACCTGGCTGAACGGGAACGTGCGGAGCCTCTTCTTTCGCCCTGCGGCGGAAACCCCGCAGGTTCAAGGTTGGCGTTCAAAAAGGGATCCGGGATCCTGGATCTAACGAAGAAGCTAGCACCATCTTTTTGGTTTGCCATATTTTTCTGGACAAGTCTCCCAATGATCCAGTGAAGGGAGTGGTTTGGTTTGATTGGAAAAGTCTTCAAGGTGCCGTCCCGTAGATAGTCTTCACGGTGCCGATTTGATCACATCCATTGGAGGCCATCGCTCGGTGCACGGCGCAGCTCATCGCAGCTCTCAGGTCTTCACCGCTGCGCCGTTAGACCAAGAGGCCCGAGAGGCGCAGGGGCCAGCGATGAAAACAGAGCTTCAATGAGTTTCACAGGTTCAATGACGCACACTTGGGCGACGTACACTTTCTGGAACAAACATGGTTACAGTGGCTGGCATGGCCCCGAAAGGAGTGCCATCCACCTCCGTTCCAGGGAATGGCGCCCCTATTCATGGGTGGAGATCCATGAAACATATACCCATGAAGAAGTGGATCTGTCCAGGGGCCGTCTAGGTCACGTCCTGCTTTTGCAGACTCCTAGAGGCCCTAGGTCAAATGCAAGTGGATATTGGGCAGATCAAATCACTGATTGATGCCGCCCGCAAGGAATAAGGGCATCGACCCCTTTTTTTCATCTCTATTGGGAGGTCATTCTTGCATTCCCTACGAGTCGCACCAGTTTGATTAGATCGATGTTGGATGACCTGGATCCTTGTTGTTTGCCTCTTTGGGGTGATGCTGCGGGTTGGATGTTGGCGGTCATGGCGCCCGGAGCCCAGACCTGACTTTGGTCGGTTGACCTCTCTATTTGGTTCATTGACCCAGTGGTCAACCAGGCTGGGTCTACCGTTTTGGACCCTCATCGACATGGTTTGCCATGCAGTTAAGCGGTCAGCGGTCTCAGTGTATTCAGCCTGTGGTATGTCCCAGCACTAACACTGCTATTCATGTTGGTTTGTTCAATCTGCCGCAGGCGAAGTGTGTTTGTCACACGTTGCGACCAGATAACGGAACACATCACTATAAAGCTGTCAGACAGACCAGTCTGCCCAATCACATCCAATCACACTCTTTCCACTCCAAGTTTGGACGCCTGTTGCTTCCCATTGACTTTTTCTACTCCAGTCGGAGAACCGCTCCCGTCCAAAAACCACGTTGACCCGCTCCCTCGACGCTCCGCTTCTTCCAGGCCGCTGCCAGCCTTCCGTTGGAGCGCGCGCTCGAAATCCTGAAGGACCTGGAGGGGAAGAGCACTTCCGTGACTCGGCACTGAAGGACCCCGATTGGGTAAGGTGAATTAGGCCTTGAGACTGGTGACTTGGCATTGGTCGGTCAATTAGGTGCTATAAACGACCCGTTTGTAATCTGACTGTTTTGGAGTGGGTAGTCTAGACTTTTGTGATTACCCAGGTGAAATCTAACATCTCAAAAAAATAGTAACTTAATAACCAAAATAAATCCTTGTGCCTTGTGCCGTGTTAGTGTGGTTTGCTTTTGGCTAGTGCGTGTCCTTAAGATTTGGAGCTATGTTAGTATTGAAAAGCTGTGGAAACAAACCGGGGAAATCTGGGCAAGGTTGGACGCTGTTGAGTCTAACGTGGAACAATCGAAAGCATGTTTCGAGTGCGCCTGTCGCATTTTGGCTATCTCTAGCATTTCTGTGCGCCTATAGCTTACTGGGTGTACGCTTGGCGGGAGGGGGGGTGCTGAGGTTCAACTGTGGACAACAAGCTTGGGAAATCCCAGGGATTGTTGGATGCTTCGAGTCTAACATGGAACATTTCAAGATCAAACACACAGCTGCTTGTTGGCCATCAGGCGTATTCTATGTTAGCATCTGCGGTTCCGCTGCAGAAACTAGCCATGCTTACTTGAGAGGGTTCTATGTTAACCTCCAAAAGCCACATAGCCTCAACCACATAGTCTCAACCGGTCCTTTCCTATTTCCCCAGGAGGTCACTGTTACGGGTGTGCCATGTTAATGAGCACCAACTTTGAGACCCGTGCTCTATGGTAAATTTCCCCGGAGTAATATTTGGATTGAACGATGGGGGGGGGGGGGTGATGAATCAAGAGTCTCTACATTAGATAGGTCGTAAGGTTAGACACGCAATGGGCCGATGGGTCCCAGAAAGGCCTGCCGGCATGCTTAACAAAAAAATGCAATGCTCAGACCTGAGAGTTCCATTGGCCCCTGCATGTTGAATCACTTTGAAGGGACTTACGGATTTACAAACAAGCATTTGCGTGAGTGGGTCAGGCTGAGGAGCGAGTTGCTTTTCTTTTGCGAACTTTCCTGATTTGACCAACAAAAAGCCTCGCACCAGAAGTCCAAAGACTCTTTTTTTTGACACCACTGAAGTAGGTAAAGGCTCTTCCTGTTCGGGTAACCTAAAGACAAATTTTATGTACTCAGTACGTACAACATACCATGCACCAACATTTGTTCGGCCATGTTCGGCCAATATATATGTTCATGTTCACTCGCGGGGTCCCACCAACCTGTAATTGACATTAAACAATCACTTTTTTGATTATGTCCTGTGCTCGTTATTGCTTGAAACGCCCGTTAGGTGTCGAACCCCTCAGGCTATGTGAAGGCTGGATTACTTCGGTAACCATGTGGAAGGGAATGTTCGAAGCCTGCGATGCATGTTTTGCAAGTGTTGCCGTTCATGAGGTTGAGGGTGCTAGTGAGAAGCCATAACAGTTTTTTCATGGATGTAGATGTATCGAACGGGGCCCGTTTCAAGATGCTAAAAGGATCAAGGCTTCCATGATGCAGACCCTCACAAGTCTTTACGATGAGGCTTCCAGGTTTGCATGGCCTGCATGGCTGAACAGCTGACTTGGTAGAGAAAGGGCCATACAATGTTGACATAATTTGAACTTAATGGTTTTGTGAGACCAGCATGGATCAAATCCTGAAAGACACTTCTTCAATATTGATATCCCGCTCAAACCGTAGGTTTTACGACGTGCAGATGAAACCACGGATGTTTTATTTTGTTTTATTGATATGATATGATGTGAGCCCAACAAGGGGCGTTTTGACGCAGGAGTCATCGGACCACAACACACAACAACAACAAAAACAACAATAACAGATAACATAACTGTCACTGTACAATTAGGTGATGGGATTGGGTTTGCTGCAGCCTTCCAAGACCCGGACTTCACACACTTGGACTTCGTTGAATTTGTGAATGTAAGGACTGAACTGAATCTCTTTCCATTGCTCAAGAAATGAGACCGATCGCGCATTCGGAGTGTCCCAAAAAAACTAGGCCGCTGTTCGGCGGGAACCTTCGGGTGGTCAGGGCCCTGGTCGTGGGCAGCGGGACGAGGTCGTCTCTTTTCGATACGTCGTTCGTGCGTCGTTCGTGCATCCTGATAGACCCCATGTGGTTCTGGGCCAAAGCCAAAAAAATCATGGAAGAATGCCTCAAAATGATTCAAAATGTATATACATCCTTGGTGCTTTTGGGGCCAAGGACGTCAAGTTGTCAAGAAGCCTACCCAGTTCCTCCATAAACAGCACGCACTTAGTTGTGTTGCTGAATGGGATTGTATTGAGTCTTTCGGCTTGGAGCCGCAAGAGAATAGTCAGTGACAAGTGCACTCTATCAGCCAATGTCCGGAAAAAAAAAGGAAGTAGGTGATAACAGGTGTGCCGGGTCTTGTGCTTCGGGCTAGGGATTTTGAGATGTTCGGCCGTTTGGATATGTTTGCATGAAGAGTTGACCAGGCTATATGCACCCCGTAACTACCGTACCGTTAAGCTTTCAGCCTGCGATGGTGTGAAGCTTGCGGACGCCGTCGACGGTTCCGAGGGAAGCGGGTGGCTTCCATGCAAATGGGTGCGGCCGCCAGTGGGTCTTATAAGGGTTTTGCCTGCAGCCTCGCCCTGCATGACTGATGTTCAGTGGAGATTCCTTAGCAGAGGTCCACGGCATTGAGCTGCTCAGCTTGTGCTGCTGTGTTCTCTTTCTGGTGGGACCCAGTGGGTAAGGAAACTATAAATTAAGCAAAAACACGACAATTTCTTTGGAAAGGTAGCCTTCAATCACTCCATCGGAAGCAAAGGCAGCCAGGGTTTGTTTCACTTGCTTGTGCAGCTCCACCAATCTTTGCCGCCACTTGGCTACAGAGTTTGTTGATGGGGAGAAGGCGCTTCCAGAATCCAATCAGTTTTTGGATTTTTGAGGGGAGCCAGTAAAACATGTCATTGAAAACCGGAAGCCAAGACCTTGGTGATGCCCGATTTGTCCCTCCAAAAACGCCGCTGAACGACTTCAGCCCCCGCCAGGCCCCCCGTCCAAGCGGCAGGCCTACTGAGCGGCGGAGATATGACACGAAAAAGGAGCGGGCGGCCAAGGTGGACTGCAGAGACTCCACGACCCGGATGGCAAGAACAGGTGGTTTCTGCAGAATCCGTTGTAGATTGATATGGCAAGAACACATCATGATTCATGATGATTCATGATCAACTGAAGTACTGATCTCTGGCTACCACGCAGCCAGGCCCATGTCGTCACCTTTTTTGAGGTATTGCTACCCTGCCTTGGGGGGAATGCTCTGCGGAAAGTTGTCTCTTTTTCCCAAAAACAAGCTAACTCCGTTGGTTGGAAAGGGACCGACTTTTAGGTTGTATGCTGGGGCTCTCATCGAAAGGTGTAGTAAAGTGTAGTAGGCAATGAGTTTCTGTAGTGGGTCCTGTGCCAGGCTCCATGCCGCCTTGGCGAAAGGGTTCTTAAAAGGGGTGCCGGCACCCCTTTTAAGCACCCGAAATCAATGCATCATACTGGCGCAGTCAGGAAGTCCTGGCGTGGACTGAGTCGGGGGCACAAGATCCTGCTGCCAGCCACCTTTTCTTTGCATGGGGCATGGACTCAGACCTGGCACTGTCTAGGTGCCTCTTGCCAGTGATGAATCACATGGCCTCACATGGCCTAGTACACATACCCGTATATCCAACAATCCCCTGCTGGACTGCAAAGTCCAAGTTTCAAGAGCCTGAACTTGCACGAAGCCAAGCCGTTTTTGCTCAGCTCGTTTGGCTTTCATCCAGGAATGCCGTCTCACTACATCAAAGCCTTCTTGGCTTGCTCTGACCGCAAACGGACCATGGCTTTGTAGCCGTTGGCCCTACCCCTCACCAGGAAGAAGTGGGCCATCCAAACCACCAGTCGGTACTTTGATCCAGCGAGCACTTTGATCCAGCGAGCGCCGCTTCGTCGTTTGAAGCTCCACTTCTTCGTGGGTCCGTGCGGGTCTCGCAGCGCCTTCTTCGCTTTCATGGCGCAGCCATGTCCACAGGCGCCGTGCTTTGCAAATGTTGACCGCCTGTCTAGCCGTTCAGTTTGATTTCCGGTGCTCCGCAGTTGAGATGCTGTGTAGCTTCGCACGCTGTATTTGGAAGTCCCTTGAGTTACTGCAACAAAGTTAGGAACGTTAGGAAGGGCTTATGAAGGTCTCATGTCTTTGTGCTTGTGGCTTGTGACTTTCAGTTCAGCCCGGCTTGGAAGGTGCTTTGCCAGCTGGAGTGTGTACCCCAGTATACTTTTGTCGAGCACAGTCGCTTTGAGGATTTTTTTTGTGATTCTTGTTCCTTTAATATATATCAGTGCAAACTGGATGACATTATTGTTTGAACTGAACATGTCAGTCTTTGGGACATGTCAGTTTGATTTCTATCGGCCAAGTCAGTCATGTTGTGTCAGGTGGCCCGGACTCTCGCGCCATGACTAGACGACTTCTGATACTCCAAAATGACTTTCCTACATCTTCCTACTCTTTCCACCCATCCTTTCATATGTGCAAGGACCAAGGACGTAAGAAGGTTCTTTGATGTTGTTTGTGTTGTCTTCCATCCCTCCTGATCTTCCTGCTTGTGCCGTATTGACCGTATTGTTGTCATAGTTACTGTTATCCTCATCGATTTCACTTGAAGTTTCCTATGTAAAGTACACCTCATATGTATAGACACAGTTCATGAACATTTGTACCTTTGGCTCAAGTGATCAAAAAGGCCGCAGCCGCTGCCACTTCGCGGACACGGCGGTCTTTACTGAGAGTTGGTTTCTTGTTGTTTGTGTTGGTGTTCCGTTTTCCAACGGTTCAAGTGGTTATCAGCCGTATCGGCTTTTGATTGTTTTTCGGTTTCTGTTACAACACAACAACATCTTTCATTAGTGTGGTTGCGGGGTCCACAGAAAACCCGTGCATGTCAAGTCGGCGTCCTCGAGAGCCTTCCCGTTCGCCACTGCGTCG